TTATTGCTTATTTTAAATGCTCTGACAGAAAGCTTATAAAGTTAATTGTAGATCAAATAAACTAACTATCGTCCGCGATTTGTTTGCGTGATGGACGATAAATCAAAGTCTGGTAAGTATGTACAGACATAATATCTCTTTAATCTCTTTAAAATAACTATATGAGTTCAATATGAGGTAGCTTTATGTAGCTAGGTAGTTTTAAATCACAGCTACTTTAATTTTATTAATTAAAATATACCTAATAATACTTTCTTAGATTTACGCGAATATTGACATTTTAAAATAAAACTTTTTGGTTCCGAATGCTTTAGGTACAGCATACATTGTCATGGGAGAGATAAAAGTTTTAGACGTCTCAAAGGTCATTCATTATGTACTTAGTTATTAAATATTAACTGTAAGTAAGTCATTTTAAATAAAACCAAAAATCAAAATAAATCCGCGAAATAATCCGAAAAGATAGTTTTGTTTAAAATGTTAAATATTCGCGTAAATCTAAGAAAGTATTATGTAAATAAAAGTCGTATAGTTATTTTAATATACAGTTTTATTTTTGAATTTATTAAATTTTAATAAGTAGCATTGGTGATTATATATACCTAATACCTATGAGTAAAATTTCCTCCAAACCAATTCACAATTTCAGTTTGCTGCCACTATTTTTTATTATTAATAATTTGTTTTATCTTTTTTTGAAATAATTCTGTCTGTAAGTTTATTCTATTCTATAGATATTTATTAATGCCACGTTACACCTAACTACACTGAAGTAAATTCTTAATAGTTACTTGGTCATTTAGCTTTATATAGATCATGAAGTCTCGAGTTCTTCAGTTTCAAAACTAGTTAGAATGTCTTACTTCTTAGTGTGTACTTAGATACATACATAGGTACTTATTTGGCTGGAAGTGAACGTAGTACTTAAATCATAACCTGCAAGCAAGAAATAAGATAATTTAAGAACTTAAGCCATTGAGTGAGTTCACTCAAAGCCATTTTTCTTCAGGCGATAATCAAAACCGATGCACTTAATACCTTCGTTGCAGCATAAATGAGACGTGACTTCTTTTATCCAGTAGGTACATACTTAGGGCGAACCCTAACTATAATAATTTTGTAACAACTTCGACTTTAAGAATTCAGAATATTGAATATTTTAAACAATTAAGATGTCTTACAAGATTAATTAACATAATATATAAGTATGACGTGATTTTGCTAGAAATTAAAATTGCCACCAAAAACAAAAATCTTAACACTGATAAAACTATCAGTTCATGAGATAGAGTCTTACATTTTTCTCGTTAACACCAACACGTTGTAGTTTAAAATATTTTTGTATGAAAAATAATAATTACGTAGTACATATATTAATTCAACCTAAACTTTCCCTAACTCCTTGGTAAAGCCTTGTCAAAATCAGACCTGCCCGGACAAAGCGGCAGATAGAGCCGGAAATTAGTCTACGAACTATGATATAATCATATATTTTAGATTCTAGTAACCCACACTTGCTAGTCGCTCAAGATATATGTATTATGTACATATATGATTACGAAATGTCCGCCCTTTTATTATTTCTTTACCTTTCAGTCGCTTTTTGAAAAATCTATTTAGCTTATAACTATAGCTATAACCTCTAGGTAGCGGGATACTGATTGTCTGACTCATAAACGATCTCTATCTATATCCATTAATTTTTAGCTTTGAAAAACAGAAATATAAACGACATAAAAAGACGAATAAAACTATCCCAGACTCGAAGTTTTTATTAGTAATTTGTAAAAAATTCCACTAGTCACTTCATGGCTCCATCATTAGATCCGCTCAATGGTATCAAAAAATTCTATTGTCATCTGGAGTTCTCATACCTACTAACAAAGTTTTAAATTCGTATCAATTAGAAGTAACAATTGCTTTATAACAGGAAGACATACCAATAAACATTTTTTTAATGAGTATACAGATATACAGGTTTCATTCTAATATTATAAATGCCAAAATCCCTCTGTCTCTCTGTTACGTTTTCACGAGTAAACCACTGAACTAAATTTAATGAATTTTACGTATATCACTACGTAAAGTATACTTAAGTATATCACTTACACATAGATGAGACCTTGGAGAAGAACATAAGCTGTTTTGTCAAAAATAAACCTTGAAGGGGGTGAAATAAAAGTATGAGTTATACCACAGATCATATAATACTATACTAGCTAGTAGTAAAACATTCTGGCATATATGATATTATACTCTTATCACGTGACATTTTATGATTAAGATCAAGGGATTAGGGAAGCGAGTGTGGGAATATAATAAATGCAAAAGACACGTAGGTCGAACGAAGCAAGGATAACCCACTAGTATATATTTATATATATAATTCTTCTGTGAGTGTGTATGTCACTGAACTTCTCTCAAACGACTGGACCGATTTTGATGTATTTTTTTGTGTGTGTTCAAGGGGATCTGGGAATGGTTTAGATTCACAATTTGAATAATAATTTTCATCAAAAAAATTATTAAAAAAAGTTTGAAATTTTCAAATTAAAGACGTGTAGACAGGACAACGTCTGTCGGGTCCGCTAGTATATATATAGTATATAAAGATTAGATGCTATACTCATTACTTAATAGCATGTACCTAAAGGCGAGTAAACAAAACACGCTCGGGCGCTCGCGTTTGCAAATTGTTTACTGAACTAAATATTTGTGTCCCGAAAAATGTCTTGAACTGTTCAATAGCCTTTACACTAGACGAATTCACTTAGATGTCAGATTCTTTTGTTTTTGAAGTGAATAAATTTGCCTACTGTTTGCTTATTATTTCCTTCTTAAATACTTGAAATACATATATATATATATATATATATATATATATATATATATATATATATATATATATATATATATATATATATATATATATATATATATATATATATGACCGATAGAGTAAAAACATGATATCATTATAAAAATATAATTATAGATATTAATTTGATCCACTAAGTTACTTGCTTTTAAAAATAAAAAAATACATGTGCTGATTATTTTAAAGTAGGTACCTAATGTGAGTGATTCAATGCGACCATATCTTTTTATGTTTCAACGTTAATAGCAATGCGGAGCTTATGAATAGAACTCAATTAGAATCAATAGAATGTAATAATTTGGCCACCCAACATCTTTTTGATACTGTCACAAACATTTTTACACGAGTATATCTACTAGCATTGCCCGCGACTCCGCCCGCGATCAGATGACCAAAAACAAAATTCTTAGGGTTTACATATTAGTATACTCTTACAATGCAGTTTTTGTATTTTTTCTCAGAAATGAGATATTTTTCCGCGTTAAAAAGTATCCTATATGTTGACCCGTATGACCAGCTATCACCATACAAAATTTCATCAAAATCCCTTCAGTGGTTTTTCTGTGATACGGTAACAGATCGACAGACAGACAGATATGTACCTATAGACTAGCTACTCGCCCACACAAAAAAATCACGCCAATCGCTCTGTTTCGACGTGAAATAAGGACAAACAATCAAAGTCAGTCAAACTGTAGGTATATCGTAGTAAGAGAAAGTGTCAAATCTACAAATGCATTCAAGTAGTTTATATTAATTTTAAGGTTGCGTTCATAGTTATAAAGTAGTAGTAAGGGAATACTGCACACGTAGCATTCCAATGGCAGCCTGCAGGTAGAAGAAGACCTGGTCGACCAACTAACACCTGGAGGAGGTCCATTGAGGCGGATCTAAGAAGGGTAGGAATCTCGTGGAACCATGTCCAAGCAGTAGCTAAAGATAGAGGGGCATGAAAAACTACTGCTGCAGCCCTAAGTTCCACGACGGAATAATAGGACAACATCATCATCAGTAAGGAAAAAAGAAAATGTGTTTGTGTTCTTGTGTTGTTACATATTTCCGTTTTCCAATTTTTCTCTTTATAAGAATCTTCCTCGTACTTCAGTTTTCCTTTAAAAAAAACTAGCCGAATAGAGAATATGCGTTTTTTTAATATACAATAGCTTACATCGTTATATTATAATTGTAAAAAAATATCCAGCTCCAAAAAAAAACTAAAATGTAGTTTTTTTTTTAAATATACCGATACGAATTACGAATACTTTAAACGCCCGCCATTTCGCGCGCTTGACGTGACGTCAAAGTATATCGTATACAGAAAAATGACGACTCTTGCTTAAGCAATTTGTAGCGACAAAAAATTAATATTATTATTTTGTTAATCAAAAAGAAATTACATTAAAATATATTAATATAGGCTTAATTATAAAAGATAATTAAATATAAAGATTATTAAAAAAATTCACCTTTATTTAAATCACGCCTATTCCCTATTAGTGCATCTGGTCTCGGCTTTTGCGCAACACATTTAGCCATTCATTTTTATTTGTATAGATTTACAATTTTTAATCATGTAAGTTAAAAATAAATCTACAAAAAAAAGCTCAAGTCTATTACCTACCACGTCTTTTCGTCGTCGTTCGTCGTGATTTATATTTTTTAATACTCTACATTCTACAATAGGTGTTCTACGATGTAAGATGAAATTTTAAATATTATTTCCAAATTATTACCTATAAATATCAAATGATATATCGAGTGTCTTTAAACGAGAATATCTAATAATAGACAACTACAAATACTGTTTAGGTACATACATATATTGTAATAGAAATCTAAGATTAAGATGTTCTCATGATCACTGATTTTTATAGTCCCTTATCTAATAGAGACACGAGTCTTCCAGTAAAACTAAGTGAATGGTATTACACGATTACGTCGCAATAAAGTCAACATCGCGACACAGATCGCGACTTGGGTAAACAAGTGTAATGATAAGACGAGTGCCGCGCCGCACAGTCGTGCGCTCCGACCGCCCGCCCGCCCTACTTGTGTCTAAAAATTATAACCAATAATATTATTGCCTATCATACATAAATCACCGTAACACATCTTTAAAATAATGGGTAAGTGCACGCCTTTATTCTAAAATTTATTGTTGTTGTGTTTTCGACAACCATATGGCAGCATCTCACGTATTTTAAGCGTATCTTTATAAATTTACAATAGAGAAAACTTTGTTTTATCCATTTTTAATTTATTATTAAGTAATTACACGTGTTGTTAAAGTGTCGTTGAACTTTCATTGAGTTTTCACGTCAATGAATTTATGTGTATATTGTTTGTTGCCCAATCTGCATAATGGGATAGTCTGTTGGAAAATTTTATCAAACTTTCATTATTTCAAAATGATTACATTTATGATTAAAAAGCTCTGTCTGAATAGATCTAAAACCAACGTAATACACTATCATCGACATCGGATCGATGTTACAGTATTTTATATAAGTAATTTCGTTATCTGCAGATAAGCTGTGGGCAGGACCGAGTCAGTTCGGTGGGGCACCTTGGGACGGAATAATGGAAGACTTTCGCGAAAATTGGGATGTACAATCAGAAAAAAATACAATGAATAAGAGGGAATTTTCTGGCCGAGAAGGGATATTGCCCCAATCGCCTACAGAATTTGATCATGATACTCTTATTAACCAAAATAAGCTATTACCAGAAGCTCGAACAGGGCTAGATGTTACTTGGGAAGGTAATAGCAACGCCTGGAGTGCAGCTCTCGGTGCTATGGGAGGTGCTGGAACAGTCCTAGTCATCGCGGCCTTGCTGTTTTTGTTCAAAAGACCAAAGAAACAAGAAATGCCGGTGCTAGCACCTATGGATATTGGACAAAATGTAAGTATAATATGTACTTTTATTTACCTTTTATATAAGAACATGTCTGTGTTAAATATTGAACATGTGATTTGAATTTGAATTTTCTTAATTATCAAAATTATATCTTATGTATAAAATAAAGTTTCTTCAATGATAACTATAAAATTCATAGAAACAAAGCATATCTATTACATTAAACTCTTGAAATTGAAATATTAAAATCATGTAGGTAAGTTCTTTTAAAATTACTCAAACAACGTTTCAAATAAAAAGTAAACATTGCTGAATAAGTTTGAATTTCGGTATTTTTAATTCAAAGAGTATTTTAGCATATTATGTAATACTAGCATTGGCCGCGGCTCCGCCCGCGTTTAGATGACCAAAAACCAAATATTTAGGTTTGACATATTAGTATACTCTTACATTACAGTTTTTGTATTTTTCTCAAAAATGAGATATTTAACCCCGGTGAAAAGTCTCTGTATCGATAATAATGTTTATTTCAATAAGATATTCCAAAAAATATCTTATATACAGATTCGGCTTAGTTACAATTTTACTATATGTATAGGTTTGCAAGCAACTTATTTTTTATATTTAATTGTTCTTTAAGGACTAGACAGAGAGAACCAATTGTCTTTTTCTCCAAGAAGAACTTATATAGGTATACTAATATTATAAAGTGGTAAAGTTTGTGAGTTTGTGAGGTTGTAGGGGGTAATCTCTGGATCTACTGAACCGATTTAGAAGAAATTTGGTAAGAAGATAGTTTGAGACCCTGGAAAGGACATAGGATACTTTGTATCCTCGAAATCATCCCTCAAGGGGGTGAAAATGAGAATGAAAGTTGGTATGGGGAATCAACCTAGGGTCGAATCCGAGCGAAGCGAGTGTGAGTCGCTAGTGTATTATAAATACAATCATCGTCGTGAAGATGGTGCCAATTAGACCCGCCATTGTGTATATTAACAACCTGTAGGATTTTTCGATTGGACTTGCGTCAACTATTCTTTGTTGATGATATCAGATATTTATTATCAGAAATCATTGTGGGTGTACATAAAATAACTAGCTAAAGTATATTCATACTAGCCAAAGTTTTTATTTGTATACGTTTCAAGTAAAAACAATAGTATGCACAGTGCATATCACGACGACACGTTTGGCTCAGTTTGTAGTGACCCTACTTGCTGTGTCAGCGGTCGCGGGTTCGAGCCCCGCTGGAAGCATTCATTTGTGTGATGAGCACGAATGTGTGTACTCCAGTCATGGTTGTTTATATTTATAATATGTATGTATTTAAAGTTATATATGTATAGTGTATCAACTACCTGGTATTCGTGACACAAGCCTTGTAGCTTATCATGGAACTAGATGGTGCTGTGTGTTAATGTCCCCATATATTTATATCAAAGCTAAATGTATTTTTATTTTAGAAAGAAAATGTTTAATGAAATCTGTCCTTATTATGAACTTCAATATTATATATTATATTTTCAATTTATTTGCAAAAATATAAGGATTTCCGTTCTCCCGATTTCAGCCACGGTCTTATCTCACTGGAATTATTGTTAACAGCACTGCCCGCGGCTCCACCCTTGTTGTGATGCCCAAAATCCAAATTCTTAGGTTTTACATATTAGTATTATATTCTTACATTGCAGTTTTTTTAATATTTCTCCTAACTTAGATATTTTCCCGCGGTAAAAAGTCCTATCCTATATGTTGACCCGGATAACCAGCTATCATCATACTAAATTTTATCAAAATCCCTTCAGTGGTTTGTCTGTGATCCGGTAGCAGACCGACAGACAGAAAGAAAGACAGACAGACATTTCAGATTCAGCCTCTGTATCGATAATAATGTTTATTTCAATAAGATTTTCCAAAAAATATTTAATGTACAGTTTCGGCTTAGTTAGAATTTGATTATATGTATAGATATAGGCATCTGACAAGATATTACATTGAGCGTAACAGTCAGCATTTACGTTTATTTGAAGTGGACGATCTATACTGTCCATTCTCAATGCATATATCACATAAATAAAAAATAGAAGCAAAAAAAACATTCAAAAAAGGATATTTTGAAAATATACTAACGAAAAATGCCATGATGCGTTCCTATAACATTTAGTTAAAGATTGAAAAAATTAGCCATTAGGCAATGAGCTTATACTGCGTCATAGATGACGCTGTGTATACCTAGTTAAGACCGTCCCATTTTTTATATCGCATTAGATATCTGTACTAGCGTAGTATTATATCATACGTGGCCCGTTGGGACGATAATTCGATACGATTATTGTTCTCCCACCGGTCATGCGACGCAAAAACAATGCCTTTATGTGCTCCATGAAGCATGGCGATATAACTTCCTTAATCTTACTCGAGGCTACCTACTACTGAAAATTTCTTGTCATAAAAAGCCAAAACTTAAGTTTTACCCCAGAAGACAAAATAAGTATTTAAAGAATATAATTTTACACAAGAAAGAGAATATAATAAAAACATTGGACTTCGAAATACTGTAAAACATGTTAGTAATCAGACATAGATGGGGTAAATCGCAATAGGGTCACCTAGATCATATAAAAGGAAAGCTTATTATTACAAACTAGAAAGTATTTACGGTCGCCACCCCTGAGGGCTAGAACGTGCTCTAACTACAAATGAATCCAAAATGCTTGACTTTGCGGTTACCAACTTGACCTTAAGCTTTGGTCGCGGGCGCGAAAAACATATTTTATGTTTATGCTTTCTATTTTTTGTTTGCTTAAAATATCTTTGGACATTATGATTTTTTGAAAATAAATATATCTAAATAATTTTAAGTTATAAATATAAGTATGTTGGGACATTAACACACAGCACCATCTAGTTCCATGGTAAGCTACGAGGCCTGTGTTATGGATACCAGATAGTTGATACACTACACGTATATAATTTCAAATACATACATATTATAAATTAAACACCCACGACTGGAGTACAAACATTCGTGCTCATCACACAAATTAATGCCTTCAATAGGACTCAAACCCGCGACCGCTGGCACAGCAAGCATGGTCACTACAAAGGTGAACCAAACGTATCGTTACGTCACATTAAGTTATTATAAACTAGTGTATAACATAATATGTGTTGCAACGAAAAATAAAAATTATAAGCGTTTTTTAAGTTTAATATTCATTAAAAATATAGCTCCTTAACCTGTTTAATCTATCTTCTATCTATAATAAATAAAAATGAATGTTTGTATGTATGTCCTCTATGCGCTCCAAAGCCGATTTGAACCTATTGTCATAAAATCCTGGTGGGTCAAAAAAAAGAACTTTTTCTTTGGGAGTTTGTTTTTTATGCATTCCAAATTCATTCAAGCTAAGGGACACCCGAACAAAACGAGGGTTACTCGCAAGAAATTTATAAAAATCCAAATGTGTGATTGAATACGTGGTTAATTTGAAACTACATACGTACACAAAATAAAAGCAAATTTATTTTTAAAGGTAACCTCTATTCTATTCAGCCCTTTTTAACGTCCTACTGCTGATAACGGGCCTCCCTTCAATACGAGGGAAATCAGGCCATACTCCACGACGCTGGCCAAGTGCGGGTTGGCGGACTTCACATATCTTTCGAAAACATGTTAGGTTCTCTCAAACATGCAGGTTTCCTCAAGATGTTTTCGATCACCGTAAGGCAAGTGGTAATCATGTTAGAAATGATTCGCGCATGAAAATAATAGAGGTGCGAGACCCGGGATTTGAACCCGTTTCACTTAGTTTCCCAAACGAGCATGTTACCACTGAGCTACCACAGCCTACTCGTTCATACATGATCGTTATCAAAATAAAACCTTATATAAAGTTTAAACGGTAATGGTTTTGTTTTTATTCGAAATGTATTTTCCTTACTCACATGTTTAACTTGTTTAAATACATATTACATATACCGTTTTATTTCCCCAGAGTTCGTTCTATAAGAAAAGTCTCTTTAAAAAGACTTTCGAAGTATTTATATGGGTCTTAACAAAGTAAAACTTTGAAACTAAAATCGAATTTACGTATATAAATAAATTACGTATAATATCTTTATACATACATATATGTACTCATATTATGAAATAATAAATTACGTTCGTAAACTTCTTTCAAAGTTTACTTTAGGTAATATTTATAGTATACATATATATATATATATATATATATTGTAATATTTATAGTTACATATATTATACAATAGCTACTAGCAATATAATGTTTATATCGCATTTTACTGTTGAAAATAGTGGCCTAATGCACGCTGAGCTGCAGGAGGTCGCTGTTATGGAGCTATTAAAGCGGTATGTTCTTCTAATGGTCAAAAATATACATCGACCTTGAATGAAATACAAAAAGCATAAGATATATGAGCGAATCAAAAAACGTACTACTTAGTACTTACTGATATTAAAAATGTTAGTATTTATTATTTGCCATGATTAGTTTGCTACAGAGTTAAAATTACTTAAAAGTCATCATACTTAGAACAAAGAAATTATAAATATATAGAATAAATTGAATTAAGAAAAATGTGTGTATAGAATTATCTAATCTGTAGATTCATATAGTACCATAAAAATCTAATTAACGACTTTGTTTATATTTTAACACTGTACTACTACGTTGCCACTAGATAAAACCGCGCGGCAACAAACTCCATACCGCAATATTATCTATACTTTTTCCCAATAAATTCTATTTTTCACTGTCTCAAGCATAGTTTGATTATTGACAGTATATTAAAATAGATTTATCGAATTTATAGATATTACTGGGTACTACACTGTTGGGCAAAGGCCTCTGTTTTCAACCCCCGACGCAAAAAGAGGGGTGTTATAAGTTTGACGTCGATGTATATCTGTCTCTCTGTGTGTGTGTGTGTCTGTCTGTGGAATCGTAGCTCTCAAACGGATGGACCGATTTCGATACGGTTTTTTCATTTGAAAGCCAGTTTCCTTGTGGTGGTTCTTAGCTATGTTTGGTTAGTATTGATCCAGCCGTGTAAGGGTATCAGCTCTTTTCCAAAATGATGTAAGGCATTTTGGCGTATGATTACTCGTTTAAGTGCTTCACGCGTGCCAGTTTAATCGTTAAATGATAATTAATTTGTATATATATATATATATATATATATATATATATATATATATATATATATATATATATATATCCCAAGGATACTTTTTATCCCAAAAGAAATGATTCCGTGAATTGGATCTGGTAGTTTTATGAAAATTATATTATATATTTATGTAAATTAATATAATTATTGCCATGGTGTAGTCCACCTCTGTTGTCAAATGCGAGTTGGTGGACTTCACATGTCCATCGAGAACTAGTTGATTGAGAGAAGTTGACATTACTACATTATTTTCTATTCGTAGAACAATCTTTGTTTTGTAATAAAGGTGGGACAGTATGTCAAATGTATAGAACAATTTGCTAGTTGAAGGTCGATAAGAAATATGAAGTGAGAAGTGAAGTGATACTGAACGTTAAACTAGTGATAAAAAATGCTCGGTGATTAAATTAAGCATTAAAGGCTGTGCGTGTACCGTGTATACTTATATGAACTACTTTACGTAACTTTCATGTATGTACATAAAAGAAATAAAATTCTGTAACTCCAATGCTTGCCGGTCCTAAAACTCTGGCTCGTAACAATACTTTCGTATTTATAACATTATTTTAGTAAGAGTCTGTATATGTAGAGATGATATATGTTAGAATACAATACATTACTGGTTAAGATTCCAAGATCCTAAAACAAAACACCCAAAAATAGGTTCACCTTCAAGAATATCTTTACGTAGTACTGTATTAATAGGACCGAAGATTCTAGTTTATGTATATTTAGATATGTTACATGTTCGAATATAAACATACATGTATTAAAATAACAAAACATCCAAAAATAAGTTAACCTTTATAGCATACCGCAAGATTATGTATGGACTTTTCTCAATAAATTCTATTTTCCACTGTCATAAATGTCGTTATAGGTATTGATCAGATAAGCCTCACAGTATAAATGGATTGTAAAGATTTCAACGACGACAAAGCTCATAAACATCAAAACATGAAAGTGATACAAATACATACAATATTTTAGTTTTATTGTGACTACTTACAAAATTATGTTTCTATATTGTATCCATACTAATATTATTATAAATGTGAAAGTGTGTTTGTTTGTTAGTTTGTTTATTTGTCCTTCTTTCACGTCGAAACAGAGTGACGGATTGGTGTGATTTTTTGTACGAAGATAGTTGGAGGGCTGTAATTTAAGCATTCCATTAAAATATTCTAATATTATATATTACACTAGCAGAAACCGCGGCTTCGCTCGCGCTAAAACTACAAAAAAAAACTCTAAAAAGGTAGATTTCATACAAACTTTCATCCGCTATTTTACCCCCTTATGGGATAAATTTCAAAAAATGCTGACACACTTATTTAATTGTATTGAAGAGCATTAATACCAAGTTTCAAGTAATTCTGTTCATAAATATTTTTTTGAGTTGTATTATAACGTGTTTTCCCGTGGGAAGGAGATAACCTCCCGCGGTAAAAAGTAGCCTATGTCATTCTCCAGACCTCTATCTCCACACAAAAAAATTACGCTAATCCGTCTCTCCGTTTCGACGTGAAAGAAAGATAAAGAAGCAAACAAACAAACACACTTTCACATTTATAATATTAGTATGGTTTTATCTAATGATAGGTATACTTTTGAACGCCATTTTACCAATAAAACGCGACGTCTAACGTCTTTAAAAATGATTTCGCAACGGCAAGGCGAACGGCGAACGGCAGGAAGCTTCATCTCCTGAAATGTATTAGAATATATTTATTATATAAGTAAAATCAAGTGAATATAGTCTATTCGAATATATAATATGAAAATTCAACCTCACTTCTCATTATAAAACTAAATAAATAATTACATAACAAATGTACTGAATATTAACTTTCAAACCTAGAGTAGAGTTAACTATTAAACTTAGTTTAAAATAAACTAGTTTGGCCTAGGCTTAACAGTTTACAGTACAATCAGATAGGCAGTGGTAGCCCAGTGGTGACGCGCTCGCTTGGGAAACCGAGTGAAGCGGGTTCAAATCCCGGGTCTCGCACCTTTGATATTTTTATGTGCGAATCATTTTCAAAGTGTTTACCACTTGCCTTACGGTGAAGGAAAACATCGTGAGGAAACCTGCATGTCTGAGAGAACCTAGCAAGTTTTCGAAAGACATGTGAAGTCTGCCAAACCGCACTTGGCCAGCGTTGTGGACTATGGCCTGATCCCCCTCATATTGAAGGGAGGCCCGTGCTCAGCAGTGGGACGTTAAGAAGGGCTGAATACATACATACATACAGATACCACTCACTTACCCTGTATACATAACTTATACGTTGAAAAGCAAAGTTATTTCTCTTACATATTTTCCAAGTTCAATTTTCAGTATATAGTTCAATGACAACGTCGTTCATCGTAAACAAACAGGGCGGGAATCAATTTCATTACGCACTTGTAAGTTTGTATCACGCGCGGGGTGCATGCAAAGTGTTGGAAGGACTGCGAATGCTGTATCATTTAAATACGTTATCGATATAAATGACTAGCTATCCCACGGGAACCGTACATTTTTACAGGATAAAAGTAACCTATGTGCTATTTCAGATTATAATCTATCTTTTTGCCAAATTTCATCGAGATCAGTTCAGTCGTTCTGACGCGAAAGAGTAACAAACTTCCTTCGGTGCTTCCTCACTAACTTTCACGTTTATAATATTTATATTGACGTTATATTTTCTCTTTAATTACGACACGTTTGGCTCAGTTTGTAGTAACCCTACTTGCTGTGCCAGCGGTCGCGGGTTCAAGTCCTGCTGAGGGTATTCATTTGTGTGATGAGCGCGAATGTTTGTACTCTAGTCATGGGTGTTTATATTTATAATATGTATGTATTTAAAGTTATATATGTGTAGTGTATCAACTATGTGGTATCCATAACACAAGCCTCGTAGCTTACCATGGAACTAGATGGCGCTGTGTCCCAACATATATTTATTATTTATATATTATGTACTCTTTAAATTCATTTTATAAATTTGGTTATGCATCTTTTATTTTTGTATGACATTTTTGCCTACACAAAAATATAGTATAAAGCGCCATCTCTTGTATACACTCAGAAACAAGGTAAGTAGTACACTGAAGCTGTTCTCTGAACAAGAACTTGTAAGCATAACAGTTCTTCATACTCACATCATAGATGGCGCTGTGCAAAGCTCTGCTTCTACGTCTTGTAGCAAAGCTACGTAGTTTTCGTAGCATACGTAGCTACGTAGTTATCTTTTCAATTGGATATATTTTATTAACAAGAAATGAAATAATACAATAAAACTGAATATATACTTATTGTTTATTGTTTACATATTTTGACTTATAAACAAAATATAAGTATTGAGCCAACAAAAAATTAAAAACCAATTTTATATTTTATAATATTTTCTAGCCCCAAATCCGAATGTTATAAAACAATAATAACACATTGATAATAATAAGGCTTATACACTAAATTACTTAAAATTAATTCCGAATTAATTGTGAAACAAACTTCACATTATTGATAGGTACTTTTTATATATTAGATTGTACGTTGTGGTTGACATCGTTTCAGCTGAAGATTCCTTATACGTCATTTATACTAACTTAAGATCTAAAGAAGGCAGTGTTAGCCCAGTAGGAAACCGAGTGAAGCGGGTTCAAATCTCGGGCCTCGCACCTCTGATATTTTCATGTGCATGTCATTTTTTACATGATTACCAATTGCCTTACGGTGAAGGAAAACATCGTGATGAATGCATGTCTGAGAGAACCTAGCATGTTTTCGAAAGACATGTGAAGTCCGCCAACTCGCACTTGGCCAGCGTGGTGGACTATGACTTGATCCCCCTCGTATTGAAGGGAGGCCCGTACCCAGCTGTGGGACGTTAAAAAGGGCAGAATACATACACAAGATCTTTAGCCATTCATTCCTGTGAGCTACACCATGTCGTATGTCCATTTTGTAGGAGACCTAAAGAGCTTCCGGAACTAGAAAACTGTCGTCCTTCAAAGAAGCAAAATATTAACGTAATTTTTTGTATGTTATAGATAGGATCGAAATGTTAATGAAGGTAGAATCGACAGTAGAGTTAAAGCGGGTCAATAATTTCCTATAAAGTGTCCTCTCCATTGTACGTGATACTGGCGAAGTAATCTGTACTCAACTGTCAAGCTTAGAAGCCATTAACAAGGTAAATAAATTGAATTGAATATTCTATAAAGTAATTAAATACATAACAATTTTTCCATACCAAAATCAGTCAAAGTCCATGCAGAAACTCACACAGAAACAGCAAAGGTTTCATTTTACTTTGTATATACGGGCGGAAGTGTTAAATTGTGACGGTCATCAATTACGTCGTTATATTGACTTAAAAATAAATAAAGCTGTTCATACAACGGTGGTGCAGTGTATTATAGACGAATACATCGTCTTTATTTCTTACGTAAATTAAAGTATAAGCCAAAAATACATTTGCTTTACCTGTGAGTTTGAATAATTTTTTTTTTTATATTGCTCATTTTAGTAGCTTAGTAGTTGTAATAGTTAACTAAGTAAATTTTATATCATATATATATATATATATATATATATATATATATATGATATAAAATGGGCTATTTATGGGGCAATATAATAAAACACAGCAAATATCCTTTTTCAAGTCATAAAAACATTATAATAATAATATAAATTATTCTACGTTATACCTCAACTGTTGTTTATAATTTCTATATTGTCAAACTAACTACCAATAGCAATGCGTATGTTTGGATCGTGTTAGCTGAAATCTCTCCTTGACCTACTTTTAGCCCAACGATCAGTTCAAAAAAGGTTAAGCCACCATAAATTGGAGTAAATGAGTTCGTTGAGAGGAGTCAATAATTTGATTTTTCAGTAATTATTAATTTAAAAACCTTTATAAATTTAAAACATATTATAATAATAAATAGTAAGTTAGGTATCTAAAACTGAATTTATTATTCAATATTTTTTATTGTGTACCATATAATATATAAAAACTGCCTCGGTGGTGTAGTGGCCAGCATGTACGGCTGCACACCCGGAGGTCCTGGTTTCGAGTCCCGGGTCGGGTCAAGTTTAGTTATTGAGACTTTCTGTATAGTAAGTCTCAGTAACAGCCCGGAGTTTGGGAAGTTGGCGGTGTCTCACCCCCGTGCCTCGGAGAGCACGTAAAGCCGTCGGTCCTGCACCTTAACTCTCACC